ACCCACAACCTCCCAGGGCAATCTGTTCTAGTGCCTCGTCACCCTCATAGTAAAGAATTTTTTCTTGATATACAATCTACATGTACTCTGTCAGTTTGAAGCCATTGCCCCTTGTCTTGTAACTCCAGGCCCTTGTAAATAATCTCTGTTTTTCTTGTAGGCTCCTGTCATGAGGTGGAAAGCTGCAAGTCACCCCTAAGCCATCTCTGTTCGAGGCTGAACAATCTCAATTCTCTCAGCCTTTCCCCACAGGAGAAGTGTTCCATACTTCTAATCAGCTTGGTGCCCCTTTCATTATGGTGCACTTTCATTATGTAGTATTGAAATGTATGAGCTGTGTAGTGAGGCCATAGATCCTGTTTTCTCCTGCTAATGGTTGGATCATCTCATTCATTCCTGAACATACAACTTTTATCTGTGCTTGGAAATGGAAAAGGGTTGTTTTATCTTCTGAGTTTTTAAATGCTTGTGTTTCGAATGCAAATATTTGGATGTTGCCATGAATAAAGCTGAAGTGTACATGTGGTTCTTCAGAAGCTACAGAGAGGACAAAATAAACAGATCAAAAGATGTCTAATTTTACCCCCAAATTATCTTCACTGTAATACAGTATTAGTCAGTTTATGAGATTTTCCTTGTTTAAAAAAAAGCATTTGTGTAATTTAGTTTTTCGCTTTGATAGTAGGAAGTTATCAGAGTTTACAGTACTATTGTGGAACTAATTTGGGCACAGTATCTCCCAAAGCTGATAGTAGTGCAGATCCTTTTCTGCTTCACTAGTGCTGGCACAGCTACTGAATGTGCTATTGTGTGAGGTTATAAACCAGATAATCTTAATTGGGCATTTCCTGAGAACAAGGGAGGGATGGCTGAAAAAGGAGAGACTTGGAAATAAGGGCATGCATTCCTAATACACAAATTCGGCTTCCATCCAGGAAAATGGGAGAATTTCCTGTTAGTTAAAATCTTCCAAGAGCTGAAAGCCTGAAGATACATAGTGCATACCTCAGGGAGCCAGAGGAAAGGGAAAGGTTGGGAATAGCTTGTGCATGAAAGCCCCAGGAAGTGATATGGTGGGACTGAGAGGTGTGAACAGCTGGATCCCAGGACAGCCATAGGATCAGTGAACCATCTCCTTTGTGTGGCCAAGGACTTGGGGTACCCTGCAGGAGCTGTGCCAGCACGGTCTGGTGTCAGAGATCAGGTCCTGGGGGCTTTTTAGAGTTGAGTCAAATGCTGTTCAGGCTCTGTGGAGAATGGGTGTTGTGTGACATGTGTGCTCATATGTGCTAATACTGCAGATATTCCTGGAGCCTTGCCTCACTAAAGTGGGGGATCTCTACTAGAGAAAAACATACAGACCCAGTAATGTAAATTTGAGGATGGCAAACAGAAGTGGGTACAGGCATGTTGGAAAGAATGGAGGATCAGGTTTGTCGTCTCCATTTGAAAAGAGAGGCTGCTTAATAAACTGAATTAAAGTACAGTGAGTTATAATTCAAAATTTACTGAGATAAGGTTGGAAAAAATAGAGAATCAGGAAAGAGCTGCGTTGAAAAAATATGGCACTTTTTAATGTTAGAACTTGTAGTTGTGATCTGAAACTTCCCTCACTGACCTAATTTCATGAGCATGCATTGGTACTTCAGACACTTGTCTGCTGCCTTCTTCATTTTTTATCATTGTTTTAGCATAGAGTGAACTCTTTTGGGTATTTTTGGTTATAGTCTGAGAGTGAATTATTATTATAATTGTTTAATATATCTATGTGTTTTTAGACTTTTTTGGTGTATATGCTTCAGTCACTTCAGCTTGTTAACCCAAGCTTCTTGAGCTTTTAGGGTAAATGAAATCAGAATGAGCATTAATAGAGTAAGGAGGGTGGTTTGTTTCATATGTAGAAGTCTGTCTGTTATATGTATTTCTTATTATATTTCTTATCATACAGAAGAGACTTAATTGTTTGGCAGTTGCACTAGAAATTGATCTCCAAGCTTCACTCATGGGTAATAGGAACATAAGTTTCCTGTATGCCACAGTAACCAGATCTAAAGAAATATTATGCAAAATAAAATTAGCCATGTTGACTTTGCAAAGTAGTACAGATGCACAAAAGTCACATCAGGAATTAAGTAATATAAGCTGAATATGGTTGCAATTGTTTCATTAGTGTCTTAAGTGAAAAAAAAAAAGAAAATTGAATCTCATTCTCTGATAGTGAATGAGGAGAGGGTTTGATAGTTGCCTGCTCTGTCACTTGTAATGAAAAGAAATCTAATTACTTGTGTTAATACAGTTTCATGGGTGATAACATACTGTCATTATAACAGTGAAGGAGGATAATGAAAAGTTGAACATCTAGTTGCAGAAAAGGTCAGTGCACAGTAAAGATGATGGATGCAGTTACATCAGATTTGTGAGGATGAGGGCAGATGGTGAATTTGTGGAAGAGAAGGCCACCAGTCAGAGTTTTTAGCTGCCCTATGCAGTTTTGCAATTGTTTCTTAACATCTGTAGTCTATTAGCAGGTATTAAAAGAACATGTTGATCAGGTGGAAATAATTTCAATTACACTCCTTCTAGAAAGGGAATGTATCCATTCTTTTAACTTCTGTGTGATTTGAAAAAATCAATTAGAAATTAGCATCAACTTGTCCACATTTAGCTGAAGAAACAGTAATGTCTAGACCAGACACATGCCCTAAAGCTCCATTTAAGGTGTTCAGGAGAACTGCTAATTTTCTTCTTAATTCCTGTCACTTCTAACAATGGTGCTTATGGATTCCCATGTTGTTCTTTTAATTACGAGTTAGATATTCTGGAGCTGAATACCTTAACCTAAAAAAAAGTATACTTAGATACTTAAAGCATGTCTTGATGAGAAAGGAGCATCTCTGGGTGCAGTTCTGATCTGTTAAATGTGTATGTCCATGGGAAGGGGGCCTTGAAACACAGCTTTTACATTGGAGCACTGAAATGTGGATAGAAACTACAGATGTCTAAGTTTATAAGTCACAGCTGTGCTCATAAATTAACAGCCAATATTTTGAACTGCTAAGAGATTGTTTGTTGGTAAACTGTGTCCTCTGTCTTTTCTCAGTCTCTGTGAACGATGAATATCCTCCAATCAGCCTTTTCAAGTGTTGTATATATTGTGGAAGATAAAGAAATCTGTTATAACTTGTTGTTATAATAATTCATAATGAAACTATTTTCTGTTTCGTTCACCATCATATTGATGGCAAAAATATAAATCTGCTTTATTGCCATGCCCTTGAATTGCTGCTGCCAGTTTTAATGCTGTTGTAATTATTTTTCCTGAATACTCTATTTAAATTCTTTGATTCTTGCCAGACTTAGGGGCAGGAAAGCAACTTTATAGGCGAAACAAGTTGTGGCTTTGTACAGTGCTATGAAATGCACAGAGTAAACAAATGAGGGGATGAGGGATCAGCATAGAGTGGGAGTTTGTTTTCCTGCATCACTTCAATTTGCTTGTGCCAACAGAAAGGTTTTTAAAAGGAAAAGAAAAAAGAAAGAAGTAAATTGGATTGTTAGCAGTGTCTCTTAGGATCATAAATGAAGGGAAGATTGTGTATGTAATTCATAAACATCCTGAACTATATGCCTTCTATTTCAATTTATTAGGGCATGAAGTAGTGCCTGCCAGGTTAATTTTTCACTGGGGAATTCAGCATTCATGCAGATCTTAATTTCTTCCTCTATACAAAGCAGTGATGAGGGAAGAATAAGGGTATTTGAATATTTGATTCCTGATAATTCAGTTTAAAGATAAGTATTTCAGAAGTAGCTGCAAGACAATTACAGCTGCTATTTTAAAATGAATTTGTAGAGTAGCAGGAGAATGTTTATTTGTTCCCAATAGGAAATATGCTTTTTGTCATGCAAACAAAACCCTGTACTTTACAAAAATTTTCTTTCATGGATGAAATTACTGTTTTGAGTTCAGGATGTGGTGGGCAAAGAATAAAAAAGAAAAACCATTTGCAAATGTTTTTTCTCCATTTCCCATCTGCCAAAGGAACAATTGAATTTGTTAGTATGGAACAATGGTCAGTGCTCTGTGTTTTCATGGTTTTAATGGTTAAGATGCTTTTAATGGTTAACAGGAGTTCAAGGATTGTTCCAGCTTAGTGTCTGATTTTTGCTTCTGTGATGGGATAGCTGAGCATGAGCAGAGTGAATCATCTGTTGGCTCTAAACAGGAGTGGGACCAGATTTTTATTTAAATAAAACAAAACCAAGCCTCAGCATTCTTATGGAGTGAATATTTAAGAGACCTAGAACCTCTTCTTTTTCTAATTCCAAATGTTGCTTTAAACTCAGTCATGGGTGCTGACTTAAGTGATTTGGGAGAGTTGGATTCAACTGGTCTAGGAAGGCAGTTTGGATGGATTCCTAAAGTTCTGTTTCAGTACCAAGAAACTTGTTTTGTTTGGAACTTCAGAGTATTTCTCTTAAAGCACCTCAGTGATCAGCAAAGTTGAATTTCCTGGTTTTGTGGTTGGAATGACTAGGAATTATTTCTATTAGGGAAATAATGGGGTTGAGAATAACAGAGAGTTAAAGAAGTTGGTTTTGGTGGGAGTTCAGTCAGCTATTTCCACTACTGCCTTTGGAGACCAAAGCTGCAGTGTCTTATTTGTTTAGAAGGGCCAATTGTGGCTTTATATAGGCTTCTTAAACTCATGTTGCATAAGCTTACCCATTTTTTTTGTTTAAAAAAATCCAAAGCCAAGCAAACCCACCAAAATGCAAAATCATTACATTTGGGAATTAAAAGTGCCCAAATTGCAGAAACTAAGACAGTCTTGAGTAATGAAGATTGTATCTTGAGTAATGAAGATTGTACCCCTTTGTGGTGCATAAACCTCATATGGAGATGCCTTTAGTGTTTGTGGAGGAGTGTAGTCTGTTAAGAGTTAGTTTTGCAGTTACTTGGCTCTAATCTTATTTCGATGATGTGTTTTTACTTTTAGCACCAGCAAACATTTTTAAATCAGCTGAGGGAGATCACTGGTATCAATGACATCCAGGTACTACAACAAGCACTGAAGGTAAGATAACTAACTTGTAGCTGAATGCATCTTAATTGCCTGTGTAAGCCATAAATCCCACCCTTTTTTACTCCTGTCCTTCTCTTACTTCCCTTCTTCCCTTTCCTTCCATTTTCCCTTCCCAGCTTGAATTTATTTCAGGGAGAAAGAAAAGCTAATAATGATGGCTTGTTCACTTTAGAAAGAATCTTGTTCTGTTTTGGTACTGACAGAAAAATGAATCAAGTGTTTAAAAATGAATAGACAGGAATGTTATAACTTGCCTTTAACCTTTGTATTAATTGTTTTGGGATACATTGGTGCTGCTACAGATGGTCAGCTCCTGAGGAAACAAGTGGTGTTTTTTTGTCAAGGTGTGGCTATTTCCTATCCTGCACAGGCCTTGCTCACTGTGTAGAATGAAGAACTCTGCTTGAATTTGCCAGCCTTTGCTAACTTGGTTATTGTTTCAATGTTTCTTCAACCATTGTAATTTATTTCACAGCACAGAAGAGTTCTTCGATGCAAGGAGAAAATGGTAGATCTCTCTAGATTCTGTTTTCATGTACATAAATGTATATAAAAATTTTAAACATTCTTTGTCTGCCTTAAGCAGATTTTTTTTGCCATTTATGCATGGTAAATGAGGATTTAGTAATTTAAATCAAAAATATATATTTACACAAAAATAGGTAATTGTTGTTAGCATAAGTCATGTGCACAACTGCTTTTCAAAAGCCAGGATCTCTGCCTTTAAAAACGAAACTATATTTTCAGAAGAATTCATCTGACTCCTGTTGAAGTCTGACTCCAGTGAATGTGTTGGTTATGTTTGTTGAGAGGTTGACCTATGCTACAAGATTTTTTTTTTTCTTTCCTGAAATAAGTGAAACTTCACCAAAACAATCTTTTTCTAAGATGTTGTTTCTTTTGTTTTGGTTAAAAATAGTGAAATATGCAGAATATATCAAGTTTGCAAACTTTCTTTTCGAGTCAGTAGTTTAACTGACAGTACAGTGGCTATTGTTTTGAAGTTGCTAATCATATCCTTTGCTTTTAAGGAAAAGTAAAGAAAGGATGAGGGGACTCTCAATTCTTGTTTTTGTTTTTTTTTTATGCTTAAAGGACAGCAATGGTAATCTGGAGTTGGCTGTGGCTTTTCTCACTGCAAAGAATGCCAAGGTTCCACAGCTAGAGGAGGCGACTTACTACCAAACAGCCCTTCCTGGGAATGACAGATACATCAGCGTGGGCAGCCAGGCAGACACCAGTAGGTATTTTTTATTTTCATCAGTTTAGTTAAAAGGCATGGGAAATAAAACCTTGCCTGTGACATAACTGCAGATAATTCTTACTTATCAATTCTTAGATTATTATGTGTTCTCTCTTTTCTTATTTCAGTGGGGTTTTTTATTGTTGTTTTTTCTGTTTAAATTTGAGCAACCTTTAGACATTACCTTTACCTGTATGTATGGTACTCATCAAAGGCTGAATAACTGGGATTTCCATGTTTTATTTTCCTTTTAGCCTCCCCCCCCCCCCCATATTGCAGGTTTTATTTTGGGGTCATGCCGTAAATAATTTAAGGCAAAAGCTGGGCACTCCTCTGTCAAAACAAAATTGGAGAACAGTCTCTCATTGTTTTTCTTAATATGCTAAAGCTTAATATTCGTAAAAGCAGCTTCTCCCTGACAGGAAAGGGGGAAATGGGAGGTTAAGTGTCAATTTTGTACTAAAGGAGTAGGTATTTTATATGTGAAATTAGCATGAAAGATACCCGATTTTAAACAATTTCATTTATTTGATACAGGAGGTCCCACAACTTGCATTTCTCTAAGTCTTGCAGGTTCTAATCCTCTGCGTCCATGTATAGCTATTTTTATGGGGAGAAAAAAAATGTGTTCTGCAAATATATATAGGAAATAACATAGAAGTAAAAGTCCAAGAAAGTTTTGTAGTTGGATTGATAGCTGTAAAATCAGAGTTTCTTGATGCTATAGTTACTTTACACCATTCACAATGCAAATGAAGACTATTTCAATTATATATAAGTTCTTTGCCATATATGTAGCACATCTAAGTATATTTTATTAAACAAGTAGAATTGTTTAGTGCCTCCTGCAGTAGGATTTTTTCCCCCTTTGTTTTGCTCATGATGGCTTCAATGTAAAGAAATTTAGTTAGATCTCCTTATCAATTGTACAATTATTTTTGTTTGTAGAATCTTCACATGAACTTTTTAAACTTTTTTTAATAAAGAGATTAGTTTATTCTCAACATGTCTGATCTGAAAACTGCATTTAAATCCTTGGTATTATTAGCAGCCCTGAATAAAGTGTCCAGAGTGCATTATAGGTAGTTGTGTTATCCATGTACTAAGTTGTGGTGGATGGCTTGGGGTTTTTTGTGTGTTCTTTCTTTTCACTCCTTTGGAAAGAAAACACACACAACCTTCCTCGTATGTTTAATTTTCAGTGTCAGAAAATTGCCTTTGAGGAAATGAAGGCTTTTAAGAACAAACTCACCGCTGTGTATTAGTTTCTAGTACTGACAACCTACTATGGCAGTGGAATAGTAAGCTGGATTCTCTTGGAGTCTATGTTTAATTAGATTTAATAGCAATCCCATTAATAGTATTTAGTTTTGCTGTCACTTTCTGTGCTTTACAACCTTACTGAAGAAATAAGGTGACAAGAGGTATGAATCAAACCTGCAAGAGCCCACATAACCCATGGCAGATAGCCAAACTGAAAAGAATAGGTCTTGAGCTGTACATTCCAAGGTGAATTTCAGGATTCTCTTCTCTTTTCTGGAGGACTAAAGGCAGATTCCTTACAGTTATACAGCATGACAAGTCAATAATCAAGAAACACCAAGTGCTGTGGGAAAAGTTTTTTTTGTTTGTTTGTTTGTTTTTTTCTTAAGCATCTTTAGTGCCTGGTCAGGTCCTCACTGGCAGCAAAGATGAGAAGCCTTGGCCAGTCTTTGCTGTTTTAGTTAGACTGAAAACACGTTGAGATAATGGCATCTTTGTGAACTTTTCATCATATTGGAGGACTTACAAGGCAAGAACTGAACACCTACAGCAGAACAAAAGCCTAAACCAGTGGGATCATGAAGCCGCCCTAGGTTCCTGCAGAGATCTGGTGAATGCTTCTGGAGTAAACCTACACTTCCCTTTTAATGTGCTTGCCTGTAATTATTTGGATTCTAGATTTAAAAAATGCAGAGTGCCAAAAAGGCCAAGTCTCAGGGCCCTCTGTTACTAAACACTGACATATAAGGGAGTGTGAAAGAGCAGTGAGGAGAGAATGGAAGATGGCTTTGTCCATCAGCACTCTCTTCTGCAAAAGAACACTTATTAGCAGTTCTCAGGCTATGCTGAGTTGCTGACAGGATCTTGTCTCTCAAATTGACTCCCTTTATTATCCCACATGGGTATAATTATATGAATTAGTTATTACTCACCCTTACTGTTCCTTACTGCTTAACTAGGTCTGTGTATTTGGAACTTGAGATGTTAAGTCACCGAGCTTTGTGGTCCTGCCAAGTATCCAAACTGGGAATGAGAGTCACAGATAAATACCAGAGCTGTCTTTCATGCCACAGAAAACCTCTAGCCATTTACAAAAGCTGTTGAATGTATTCTTTCATAAAGATATATCAGATGTGTTCTGTGAGCTTGACTGACTACATTACTTTGACATGGTTACTTAGTTAAAGGGTAAAATGAAAATGTTAATGTGTACCATAACAGCCAGATTTGTGCACTGGCTCTTCCAAAAGTGACAGTGGTCATAAGTGGTTTGAGAGCTCCATCCTGGATGGTAGGAGGTATAAGGAAATCTGGTTTGTCTTAGTACCAAATGCAACGTTTCAGCAGCTGCAAAAAAAGAATAAGTTTTCATTAAATGTACTCCATCTGTTAAATAAAGACTGACTTGCACAATCAGTGTTACTCATGATGCTTGCCTTTTTGTCTGTTCAAAATGGTATGTGCAAACACCTGCAAATGTAGTATTTTCACACCAACAGTGATGCAAGCTTAATCTGATCCTTTTGCAAAGATGGTTTTAACATTTTGACTTTTTTTTTTTTTCCTTCTTACACTCTGTGAGGAGAAAGTGCTTAAGCTTTAGGCTTGGAATGTACAGATGCACACCTTTTAGTCTAAGGTAATTTTAACATTCTACTTGGTAGAGGAAGTCCTAGGCATTATGCTTAAAGAAAAACAAGAGAAGTTTAGTAGTACTTCCAAAAATTTTAACTTTATTTCATTCTCTACAAATCTTTTTATCCCCATTTGAAGTAATTTTGTGTATTTTCATCTATGGCTGTGCAACAGAACTGTTGGATTGCTAAGAATGTATTAATTTTCTTCTTCTTATTGAAGGAACTTGAAGAACCTGGGGTTAAAGTAAGGAACAGAATGAAGATATGTGTTTTGGAAATTGTGCTATGTTCCAATGAAACAGCTGTCAGGACAAATTCCTTCTCTTCTTTTGAAAACTCAGTTATAACTTTTTTCATTAAAACTCAATTATTAGTGTTCACAATTGCACATTCCATAGCCAAAACAAAAGATTTCAAGCCCTTTTATAAGGGCATAATACAATATAACTACGAAATGCCACACACAGCAATTGGAGGATTGTCGACTTCACAGCTTCTGACTTTTTATATCTTCCTGTTCTTACTTTGAGCCTTTGCATGTGTTTGAAAAGTCACTCAGCCCTTTCCCGTGAGGTAGAGCTTAGATTCAGTGGTACCTGAATCCTTCTGAAGCGGTGTTTATAAAACATTTCTTAGCGTTCCATTCTAGACACTCTGGAAAGTTTATTGTGTAATTTCTTTTGGAGCTTCACTGTCCCTACTTTTACATTCCCAGTGTCTTGCCTAAATCCCTTTTGCTTCAGGTTAAGTCCTTTACTCCTTGTGTGCTCCCTATGGAAATTATAGTACACTTCATTCCTTTTATCTTAGATGAAATGCTGTGTGCTCAAAGACAGTATATCAGGACTTCTCTCAGATCTAAATGGAACAGCCTAAATTCCTCTCAAGTATTTGGATGCATTTCCTATTACCTATTGTCTTTTTTTTTCCTTCCCATCTAGGCCTTCTTTAGTATGCTTTTTTTCGGAGCTGTGGCACTCGAAACAATAATGAAGACATCAGCTTAGTTCTTAAGAAAAATAGGTGAATCTATAAATACCCACATAGTACTCTGCCAGAAGTGTAACACTTCCTATTTTCTTCAGTGCTGTGATGATGTGAATTGCAGATTGAACATGAGTCGGCTGTAGCTCCTGGATCCTTCTTGGCACAAGTCCTAGTCAGTCCTCATTCTCTAGCTGTTCATTTATTGTTTCTGTGAGTAGAATTTGAGAGTGGCTTCTTCTGTCACCTTGCCTAACTCAGCCATCGCTATGTGTCTTCATCACATTTCCTTCTTTTTCGAGGATTATCCATGTCATCTCCATCCAGGTTCCTGAGACTTCTGCCAGCCTAGAATGTCAAAATTCCTGCTTCAGTATGTCCAGAGTCTTGTACCTCGAGCTCCTCTTTTCATCTTACGGATTCACTTGTTGCTTTGTGGCATAATTGCCTCTCTTCTTCCCCATCAGTGTGAGAGTTGTTGCTTTAATGTGTTACAATTGTAGGATGTTGTAAATACAGCTGAGACGAGGAAGCTGTGGGATAGTGGTGGCCATTATTTACAAGCTCCTGCACCAGTACTGCAGTTTGAGTTGACTGAATTGCTGCAGGGGTGCTGGGTGCTCTCCTCCATCCTGTTTTAACCAAAATGGGCATATACAGCCACCTAAATTCCTTTAAATCTTCATGTTAGAAGCCTGAGACCACTGTCAATTTAACATCACAAAATAGGTGGCAGTATGTAGGATCTTAATTAGCTCTGCTTGAAATAAATAATCCAGATGTAGTCTCAACTCCATTTAAAATTTTTTGTATTGTTGTGCCGTTGAAATTGGAATGGAGCTGCTGGATTTTCATACTTTGCACTACTCTGTTGAGCCCATCAAGGCTGCCCCTTCATTTTTTTCTCTCCTTATTCCAGTTGCTGCATCACTGTAGGTGTTTATTGCCTGTCCCTGAGTTCAATTGCTACTTCTGATCTGTCCCTCACGCTGAGTTTCCCAGCCTACTTAAGTTTGAAGTTCCCACTCTCTGCCTCCTCCTCATATAAGTACCAAGTCAACAACACAGTAATTATTTTAATGACCTAGGCAATAACCAAATAAGAACCATTTATTTAAGTGATGATAGAAACTTCCTAAGTAAACAGATTAATAAGTTTTTTTTTTAAAAAGGAATATTTACGTAGATAGATGTAGCGTGTGCATTTATTATACATACACTAGTATATTTGTCCCAAATTTCAATACATAACTTAAAATTGCTTTATACAATTGCAAACAATGTCAAACTCTCTGACTCTTATTTATGAGAGTGACACATATTATATCATCATAATGTTGTAAACCAAGAATACATTTCTTAGTAAAACAGATGATTAATTATGAATGATAATTTTAGTTGAATAAAAAAACATGCTCTTGGCAAGACTATATTGATGAGAAGTTTCTTTGCTCATGGAGAATTTTTTCATAAGCAAACTTTATTTACTAGTCATGGCCTGGTTAAGAATGTTTGCATTTTCTAAGGCTATTTAACATTAAAGTAATAAGTACCTTTATGAGGATGAGCCAGTGAGAACTGAAGTGTTCTGTGGGCTAAATGAGAGGAGCATTACAAAACTGGTATGTGTAAATTAAAGTCAGGTAATTAAATTTGGACAAGTGGTATTATTATTACACCTTTATGAAATACATCCTTCAGCCTATCACAGAAAAGACTTCTGTGTCTGATAAAAAACTTTGAGTAAAAGTAATCTTCAAACTCATACTTAAAACAGAGAAATCTGTTGATCAGATAGGAAACTTCAGCAGCTCAGTTTCATGAATGAGCTTTATGCTATTATGCTAATAGCTGTAACATTAACATCCCCAGGCAAGAATTTATAAAACGTGAAGATATTTTAAAACTAAAACGAGAAAAAAGAAAACAACATGAATGTCATCTATTATATGCACACTTGTATAATGTATGGCCTTCTGCCAGGAATGCAAAATGTGGAGACAGCGTAATATATATAAAATATATATATTTACTTTTGACTTTTTAGGGCGAAGAGTTTAGTCTCAGACTTACCCTTCTTTTATAACTTCTATTGAAGTCTTCTTTATCATCTTATTTAGGATTCAAGTTGTGAGGTGTTGCAGCTTAATGAATTACTGTGTCAACTATAAATACATTAGCTTAAATGTCAAAACCATTTTTATTTTACCTTTGCTATGAACTAAAAGCTTGTGTGAAGTAGGTTACCATGGGTGAGGTGATATTTATAAATTTATTTTTTCAACATAAATTATGCTAGGTCAACCCTCTGTGACATGAATCAATTGCACCACTCACATGTAGTAGTGATACCTGTGTGTCTTCACTCTATTCTCTTTTTTTCATGTAGAGCAGGAGCAATGTATGAATAGAACATTTCTGAAGAGAATCCTATGGTATCTGCTCCAAAACCCTTGCCTGCCAAAACAAACTCTTTTGGCTCATTGTTAATTTTAGTATTAAAAACCCAAATCTTCTGTTTGCTTTTGGAAAGTGAATGGAAGTAAAAGGTATGGGGTTTTAATATTAAAATTATGTAATTGCTTGTAATATGAATGGTAGTGAACTTCTAAACACATAAGGTGGTAGTATAGACTGATAAAAATTAGAGAGCTAGGGAGTCACAAAGAAATTGAGTATTTTGATGGAAGTGTGAGTTGGAGTTGATCCAGACAGATTTTTGTATAATGGGGGAGGTTTTGTTAAATACATCATTTTTACCTACACTATGAGTTCTTTTCTAGAAAATAGTCCCCATATAAAGAAGCTAACTTCTTCATATAGCTTTCTTTATTATCATAAAAATGTCATCACTCTTACCTGACTAGAGACTCGCTCAAGGAACATTCCTCTCTCTAAGGGAGTGACCAGAGCAATCCCATACTTGTCCATCAGCATATGTGGCTGCTGGCTTGTGACCACTGTTCCTACTTTGATAAATACAGCTTGGCTCCAGGGAAGATGAGGTGCTGTGTGGCTACTTGTGAATCTGCAGAAAATACAGCACAAGCAGCACATTTTAGAGCATAATAGGTAGTATGTGTGTGTGGTGAGGGGATCCTCTCATTTCTGTCAACCTCTCTGATCTCCTTCTGCTGTCAGGCTGTAGGACAGAGCCAAGTTTGCATGTCACCCAGGCTGAAATTACTTTTTCACCCAAATGATGTTCTAAGCATGGTAGCATATTTATCAAAGCTTCTCAGCTTCTGCAGGTGGTGGTTGTAATTGCTTTAATACATCTGAAGGAGAATTTCAGGCATCTGACTTGAAGTACCCTTCTGTTATGCTGGAAGATCTGAGCTGACTGTAGAAGGCCTAAGAATAAAATTAGGAAGTGCTGCTTTTATAGCAATAGTTTTTCCATACTTCTAGGTCATGACAGATTGCCCAGTGTATTCTGCAGGTAAGAGTCCTCCCTTTAAAGGCCCACTAAATAGAATAGAAGTTTGACCATTATTTGGATAAAACAGAGCCGAGTTTAAAACTAGGTTTTGAAGATGCTGATGTTAACAGAAAAGTTTCTTTACAACTTCTTTCTGGTTTCAGCTTTCTGCAAGGACAAATCATCTCATTTTCTGTTCATTCATGACTATGGTAATGATTTTTGTATACTAAGTGTAGTGTTTCGTTCTGATCCACTGAGAAACGTCCCAAAAAAGAAAGCCTAGGGGAAGCTACAGTCTCAACAGTGGGCTAGCCCATGAAAAGAAGAGAGTCAGAATGTAGACATACAAGCTCTTTGGAGTAATTGGGTTGGCCTGTGGAAGGAGAAATGCTGACAAGCCTCTTGTCTATCTTTGTGAGCAATTGCCAGTTTCAAATCTATATCTTTTTCTCCCAGAGCCTTTCAGCTTCTAGTGGCCAAACCCCAGGCTGGAGACAAGTTCCTTTCATAACTCTTTGGGTAAACTTTGCCTTGGAAGAGGAAGACTCAAACCAGCCAATGCTACATGTGCCTGTCTGTCTGATATTGCACGCAAAAGTCCCTTTTGCACTTTTGCTTTCTGTCTGTCTCACTTGGAAAATGAGGCTTCTGACCCTTGAAATGGTGATAACCAGTGACCTTGACTTTTTTGAAGGTCTTGTGCAGCTGATGGACATTCCTGTAGGCTCTAGCTGCTCTAGAAGCTTGGCTGTGCCTGATGGGGACATGATTTGTGTTGTGGTGTGTAGTAGGATCCCACCTGAATTGGGAGCAGGGGTGTTGTTGCTGCCTTCAGGAAATAAGGAAGTTTTGGGGGATGTCAGTCTTTGATCCTTTGTTTAAGAAGAGTGGGTAAAGAAGGCAGAAACAAAGCTGTTTTCAGTCAGTAATCCATCCAGTATTCCCTGATTATCCAACTATGGATCCTCATTTTGTTTCCAGTATTTGTTTTCTACATGTTGAGGTGCGATACTTTCAGTACATGAAATCGAATTTAAATATGTTCAGAAAAGGAATGCACAAACAGGATAGAAAATAATTAGGTTGAATAAGGACCTCTCCTTCTTGTTATGAAACTGTGTGAAAGTGTTTGGCTCACCAGGGTACAGAAATACTTCTAGAATTTGGGGCTGCGTTGGGAAAACGTCATTGCATGTTCCTTCATGAGGAGGAAAAATCGACTATGCTCAATTAAGGTATCATTTTTAAGTAAGGTCCTCTTCATCATGTGTTCCTTGTAGCAACTGATCTCAGTAACTGAAGTAATGCATTTAAGTGTATTGCTTTAAGAAGGCTTTCAGAAAACGTGTATTCCTAAACTTGTTCCATAGCTTTGTGACACTTAAGAACATTAGGAGCAAGGAGAAATACAGCCCATCATATCAGAAGTGAGCTGCTGAGGTTTTTATCTGGCTTGGAGGCAGAAGGGAGCTGTTAACAGGGTTAGTGGTTGGAAAAGTGTAGGGCACAGGAGGGATGGACTGGAATGGTGCTCAGCAATCCACATGGGCTCTCTCCTCTACAGTAAGACTTACCTTTCATTCTGTTTCACTTTTAATTTTGAGAAAGATAGTTTTGCTTTTCAGATGTGATTGATCTCACTGGAGATGATAAAGATGATCTTCAGAGGGCAATTGCCTTGAGTTTGGAGGAATCAAACAGGGCATTCAGGGAGACTGGAATAACAGATGAGGAACAAGCCATTAGCAGGTAAACAACCAACCTTATATAAAGCAGAAATTAAATTTAAGAGTTGGAGATTGGCCTGTATTGCTTTTTTAAACTTTTAACAAATAATAACTTGTTTACTTTTACTTGTGCTACTGATACGCCTGGCTTCAGGATGCTGCTTTAATGTATTGTATGTTCTACACTGGAAAATAGTCTATTATGTGTGGACTAGGATTTAATAGTATGTTTCATATTTCTGTATTTCTTTAAATATGGAGGAAGTGGATGGAGATAGAGAATGTGTGGTCATATTTAAATAGGACCTAAACCCAGAAGTTTCTTTTCTGTACCAGGTAAAAAAGCAACAAAACCAAAATATAATGAAGGAGCTAATAAATACTTTTCCTGTTTTTTGCAGTGTTCATTTTGCAATAACATTTTCTTCCCTCTGTGCTACGGCTGAGATTGAGGGAGTGGGTATTAATATTATGACTTGAGGATACTAAGAGCAGCTGCTTCATTTTAGCAGATGAAGAATGTTATTAACCTATTTAACAAATAAGATTTATAGACTTGAAGTGAAGTTCTGGATTTAAAGTTTTATAAATTTAACTCTCTCAGTTTGGATGTGATAAGAGTCTTTGAGCTAACTTTTGATAAGATTTTATGATAACTTTTTGTACAGGGTATGTGTTTTTGGTAATATTGATAAAATTTGAAATATTTGGGATTTGAACTAAGCCTGGATATAGGGTTCTATGGGACGGATGTTATTTCTTTTTTTCCATCTGTAGCTGGCCTTGGGAGGAATGTTGAGTTTTTTATTTGTGGCTGACCTTGTTCTAAGAGAAACAGGCAATGATTTGATCCTTGATAGGTGGTAAAGTATTACCTCCTTATAAAAGACCAATTTTATAAAATATAATTTAGATGGGGGAAATGAACCACAATAATTCTTTTTCTCAGTTCATTGTGTTTGACAGTCTAAATGACTTAGAAAATTCCATTTCTGAGAATATGGATATTTTATTGCTTTATTTGTATTACTTTATCAACAATAATTTTCTTTCTGCTTTTATAAATAAAATAAATATGTTAATTGTGAGACTAAACATGCCCTTCTCCCCCCCCATTTGTGAAAAAAGTAGTCTTGTTATATGAATTGAAGATAACATTTGAGGAGGGAAGGGTAGGATGAAAAGGATTTATATTCTCTTTAACAACTGGAAGACACATTTAAGGGGTTGTTTTTTCTAAAACCTCAGTATGTGCATGTTTATAAGAGGATGGTGGCAGTTCTGTCCAGTTTTTTTTTTTCAGAAGGTCAACTCTTACATGTTCCTTTTTGAAAGGCAGAATTGTCGTAATTACAGAGTTGTGATTTAGGCAGGCACTCAGAAAGATGGACTTATTTCGGGAGGTGGAAAATTTTCTCCCTGTTTATCTTTACCCAAAGCTTGACTACTTCTGCTGAGCTCAATTCTTGGGAGATTTAGGATTTTTGCTGTAGACTTTTCACTTTTGAAACTGAAAACCTCTCTTTGGTCCCTTCTGCTTAGTCCATAACTTAGTATATAAATACTTTCTATTTAAATTACAGTTATCTCTTTCTGGCTGCAGAAAATAACAAAGGATGCCTTTTTTCTGTATGTACAAAGGCATCTACAAAATCTGTTTGGTTATTTGTAGAGAAATGTTGATCTTAAGAAATAGAGACTTGCATGTAATGGCAAAATTGTACACAGTAACATGTGCAGTGACAAATGAAGAGCTTGTTACAGGTCATATCCCCCTTGGTGCACTGCACTACATTTTCTGTGCTTGCTGGAGGGTTCTTTGGAACATTTGTTGCACAAATTCATTTGACAAAGCCATAAAAAATATTCACTGGAAGATCCATAGTATTTCATGACACAAGGAAGGGAATGGGACTTTGCTTGTGAATGGAGGCAGAGAAGAATGAGGATCGTGAAGGTTTTGGCATCACTGGGACATTGGATCAACTCAGTAATGTAGCAAGAAGCACCCTCAGCTGATGGCAAATTATGTCAGCATTGAACAAATATAGAAAGTTCAGAATTCTTGATCCGAACTGCTCAATCAGTTTCCTTAAGGACAGAACTTCAGACTGGTTTTATTAAAAAAAAAAACCCAAACAAAACAAAAAAAAACACCCCACTTTGTAGTTAACAACTCACAGAAGAATGTTGGCACTCCAATAGAAAGTGCAGGATCTGTGCAGAACTTCTCAAAACAAAATGTAGAACACTGTAGTTGTAAACAAGTCAAGCTACAGCCATTTACTTTTGATTGTCTAGATAAAACAAAAAGCAGAAATCAAATAGGAGGTCAGTAATAAGCAAATTTAAACTGTGGAAATGTTTCATTTTTAAAAACACATGCCATGTGCATATTTAAATAGTTTTTGCTGTGGCAGATATTTTTTTCAAAGGTATTCATAGTGGTTTGGAACCTAATTTGTGCATATTTTGTTAGTTTCCAAGGGAGAATTAATGGAATTTCTTGACTTGTGTAATTAATGTTGTAATGCACGTAGAATTTGTCTTCCTGAATGTAATTGCTTTAAAATACCTAATGAGGACAGATGTGATTGCTGTGTAGGTGTTGAGAGGAGTGCATCTGAAATGTCTTAAGTGTCCAAGCTGAATGTCTTGTACGTGGCACTTCTAAAGTCTTTTCCTGTTTCCTCTCTAAGTCTCCTAGAGAAATGTGCATGATCAGTGTATTTCCTATTGTGAAGAAGTTTCTCCTGTTTATATTACTTTTCCTGGATTGAAGGAGTCTGAAGCTGGCCAAATAGGGCTTCACTAGGGCAGCCAGTGGGATACTACTGGAAGGAGAAATCAACTGGCCTGTGTTGTGCCTGTGGTACTGCCCATATAAAAATTAGTCCATGCTATCAGTGCATAAAGGATGTGCACAGCCCCTGGGCTTTTTTAAAATCAGCATCATTGAAACTGCTGGGGACTCAGCAGTGTGGTTAAGCATTGTGTTTGTAGATCCAAGATGAGGTTGTGGAATGTAGAGCCAGAGATATATTCCTGGATATCCGGCTGGAAGATCAGCACAGTACAAATACCTTCTCATGCTCTTTTAACTGAATAACCTGACAGAATGGGCTTTTCTGCAGCATGTTGTGTGGGCTTCCTTAGAGTGGTTTGACTGAACCTTTGTGCTGTGGGTTTGCCTTGCCTGGGCATTTTTGCTTTGTCTGATGAGCCCCCTGCAGTTCTGCAAAGCTGCTTGGCAGTGCCTAGCTTGTTCCAAAGAAATAAAACACTACTTTCAAGTCTAATGCCAGGCCTGGCACTAATTAACCTGTGCTACAGCACTTCCCTCCAAACAGAATTCCAGCCCTTGGAGCTGTAGGTCCCAGGAGAATGCCAAACCCTGCACGTAGCTAGCTGATGGAGCTGATGGCTCTGTGCTGGAGACTGTGTTGTTGTCCCCAAGGGTCACCAAGTGGGGCTTCAGCTCTGTCATCAAAATTGCTAAATCCTTGTAATAACTCTCTGGAAGGATGCTCGTTTTGTCAAGCAGTGAAAGATTCTTGATCCGGGTGATGTCCCAGATTTGTGACTTTATGAATGTAAGACAGTGAGTATTTTATGAAATCCTCACTCTGCTAGTAAATACATTTATTTATGTCGCTTTCAAGCTGTTCATTAGGTTCCTATTTACTGTGCTCACTACACTTTATTTCACTTTTCATTTTTGATTTAACTGCATCATGGCTGTCATGTCTGAAAATTAATTCAGCACATAGAATGTGCAGTTACTGCATGTGCTTTCTGAGGACAGATAATGTTATAAGTAGAATTAAGGAAAAAATACCATGATGCCTTCAGAAGCAAATACTTTACAGAGAAATACATTTCAGGTCAAACTAGAGATGAGTAAATCCCTTACCTGCTAAAGAAACAAATTCAAATATAAGAAAGAAATTTTAGTAGGTAATTAAACTGATGAATGGTAGTACTCACGGGGTCAGGGAACTGTTTCAGTTTGAGAGTATTTATTTTTCTGAACTTGAATCTTAAAATACCTTGAAATATTCTTGAACTTCTGGAGGAAACAAAAAAAAAGTTTAATTGTTTACCTGAGGCACAAGTCGTGTGAAGTAGGTATTGTAGTCCTGTTACATTAAGGTCCCTTCAATTTAGTTTAAACAAGATTTTAAGCAATTCTACCTGCATGACAAATTATTTGAACTATGTATGACATTTTAAAATTGATTTTTAATGTCCCCATTGACCAACTTTTGTTCTCAAAGCAGCGATACACAGGTCATCTAACACTTTTGAAGGACTGTGTTGATGTAAAGGGAAATGAATTTGACTGTTTCTTTGCATTTTGGGGTTTTCTTAGTGGAAAAGACTCTGAGAACAGTCAGGGTCAGGTTGCATCCCTATGCAGTGTTTGAAGAAACTCTTAGTGGATTATATGCCTGTCCTTTCAGTGCTGTTTATAAGGTGGTGTAAAAAACTAAATCGATTAATCCTTTGCAAATTACCAGAGTTAGGTTCTTCCTGAGAGAGATACAAAAGTGATATTTGTATCAAATAGTCTCTTAAATTTAGAATGCTTCTCTTTTACTTTATTTTTTCTGAAATAAGCATCAATGACAAATTAGTATATTTCCCAGACCAGTTATCTGCAGTAAATTCATATAATGCTTTATAGTTCTTGGTAAGATCGCTTTTCTTTTTTTTGACAGGAACATAGCTTGAATTAAAGATGTAGGTAGGAAACTGAGTGATTATAGGGAGAGGGGCTGTCCGTTTCTATGTTTTTTCTAAGATGTTCAAACTTTGTTTAGGAGCTCCCTTTACAGCCAACCTAAACCTGCCTTTCTTTGGTGATTAGTGAGTCTAGAACTGAGAGGAGGCAACTCTTCATGCTGCTCAGACTGCTTAGATACTTCTGATGCAGCTTATGAAATCCTGTGCTTGGTATTGGAGAGCAGCTCAGCCTTTTCTCTGAGAGTTGGATTGGATGGCTGGGGACAGTGACTACTGTGTCAGCAGTGCACACACCGGATTCTTGGCTTATGAGTTAGAGTCACTGTTATATGACCTCAGTGCATCCATCTCTATCTTTATATTTAGAATACACCTACCACAAATTACTTAAAAGGTGTATTTTGTCACCAGGCTAAGCATACCTGCTGATACAGAAATAATGTATCGAGTGAAGCTTGAGTTGGAGAGCTTCACACCCATCAAATCTTACTGTCATGTGAAATATGGACATTCAGCATAAATCACATAGGAACAGTTTCCAGCAAAGAAAGTGGTCATTGAAGCATACAATTAAAGTGTTGGGTGGTATTTGAAAAATTGCAGGGAGATGTCTTTCTATGGCTCATAAAATAATTACTTGCCATGTAAAGTGATTAACACAGTTGCATGAGTTGCAAAAATGGAAACTAAGAAAATTGCCTTTGTTTTTGAAAGTTGCCTACCTAGGTTTGGCTTCCTGTCAGTAAATGAAAGATTGGTGACTTTGTGCTTTGCTTAGCAATAAAAGCATTTGAGGATGAAAGCACTGTACTATTAGTGCTGCCTAAAATTTCTCCAACCTGTTTGAATCTGGTTCTTAAATAAATGATGACTTGTAGACATGGCTCTTGTATCTAGGGCTCTAACAGGAGATTCATGCACTCACCAATACCATTTTCCAAAGGGTAATGGAATTGCCGTAGCATAGCTAAAAGTAAAACAGAATTTTTGAAGGCATGTTATTGCATATATTGCTCAGCAACAATAAGTGAATGATGTCATTATGATGTTTGTATTGCTACTGGAATTTATTTTACTAGTTGGTGTTTTTTTTTTTCTTTTGTTTTTTTTCTGGGGTTTTTGGGTTTTTCTCACATTTTTCTCTCCCTTCTGTTCCTGAAGAGTTCTAGAAGCCAGTATTGCAGAAAATAAAGCGAGTTTAAAGAGGACGCATCCAGAGGTATGGAGTGACTCTCCAAACCCTTACGATCGAAAGCGGCAAGACAACTGCCCAGTAGGATTAAAGAATGTTGGCAACACGTGCTGGTTTAGTGCTGTCATTCAGGTAAGCACTCTTCAGTCAGCTGTGTGCATTCTTCACTGTATCTATATATCTTCACTGGGAGGTGAGTCAGCTCATTTTAAGTGCATAATTTAAAATAATCTCTTTGCCTGGGAAGCTTAGGCCACTGCATGAGATGTTTTTACACATTATTTATTGCATCTCTTAATATGTCTATCGGTAAGTCAGATTGAAGTGTAGAAAAGACTGGTAACATATCTAAGTGAAGCTTCAAAATGTTTCTTATTAAGAAGTTGTTGAAGACAAGGAGTTGACTCTCTGAAGATGATCCTGGGCTTATGCAGCTCATGCTGACATCAGTGACAATTGTGGATGCCTAAAAACATGGGAAACAGGGTAACAGATGAGGAACTAATTTTTTTTTTTAATACTAAAAGAAGCACATGGAAATGACTGAAAGGGGGTGGCTGACAATGGAGATACCTCCAGTCATGGAGTCCTTACTTGAATAGCTACGGCTGGGTAAAGTAAAAGGAGGAGTAATTGATAAAGAAGGAAACTTCAGAAGAATTGAGGGGAGGTCTGATATGGATGCAATTGCAACTGGTTTTGGTTGTTTTATGTAATACAATCAATATGTGTGCTTTTCTTTTAAAGATAGGGTGAGTAGGGAAATGAGAACAGATATGACAACTTGCCTAGTGAAAGCCAATGTGCTAATATCAATAATTGATGTACATAAACTTTATGAATCCGTCTTTTAGGAGATGTCTGTTTCTGTAAATTATCTGTAGATCTCCTGAAAAGCATTTTAACCTACAGAAAACTGAGAATGAAATTGGAATACAACAATGGGAAATTTATTTTTAGTCTACTAGAAACAAATGTTGTAGTCTACAAGAAACAAATGTATTGTAACTTTTCATAGTCTGAGATTTTGAGAGAAAGAAAATAAAATATTTAATACCCATTTTTAACAAATTATTCAGGCTGAAGCACTTCAGATAAACTAATACTGTTACTTTCCTACTGACTATTGAAAGATGGCTGTTGTACTTCAGGCTGAGTCCATTTAGATCAGTGCTCTGCCCAGCAATTTCCACACATGGATGCTTTCAGGGGAGTACAAACAGTATGCATGATACTGCTCTGGGAAAACACTCCTGAGCCTCCCACTGCTTTTATCTAGGAAGGGTTTTTTTTAATCCTCTGCAGTTTATGTAGTTGGTAAACCTTCCTTGTATGTTGTCTTCCTTGATCCTTGCAAACTTCTTGCATCCATAAGGTGTGCTTGTCCTTTGGGTGTGCTTCCTATTGCATAAAGAGCTGCCATGGTTTTGTGTAGGTTTTTGAACCAGCTCCCACTGTCTTTCTCTAGTAGTCTCCATGTCTCCTGGTGGACCAGGCAGCAGTTGATTGCCATTACAGTTCTGTGGGTTGCTTTCCTACTCTCTTTCAACACCTCAGTGGTCTCTTTTTTTCCAGGCTGTATGCTCAATTACCACCTGTAGAATGTGTTCTAAACTCTGATCCACTTGTTGCTGTTCTCCAGATCCTTTCTAGCTCTAGTAGCACTTTCATTGGGGATGAGGAAGGCTCCTAAGATGTGAGTGTGCTGTGAATTGGGGTGGTATGAGGGAGAGATACAGGCTCCTCAGGAAAGATGAGTAGGGATGACAAGGAGAGGCACTCCCTTCCTCCAGAAGGAGTAGCTCAAATGTTTGTGGTTCTTGCATGGGGCAAGGTGGCAGTTTAAGGTGAGAGTCTGTGGATCAGGATCAGAGGAGGGGCTGGTAGAAGTGCCAGCACAATTAGTCTGCTACAGACTACCCTCCTCAGGGTGAGGACGTGCACACAGCCTTCTTGAAAGGGAAGGGAGTCTCTGCATTACAGTCTGTGTTTCGTTCCCATGGGAAACTTTAATAAACATCCTGACCCTTGCTGGGTCCAACACAGCAGGACACAAGCAAACCAGATTTCCGGAGGGTATGAGGAGCAGCTTCTTGGTATGAGCAGTGATAGGCCAACTAGGGGTGATGCACAGCTGAATCTGCTGTTCCCCAAAAATGGGAGAATTGAAGGTGGAGTAATATGGGTACTCTTGACTGCAGCAACTACGAAATAGTAGAGTGCAAGATGCTGATGAGAGCAAGAAAGAAATAACAGGACCCAGACCCAGTATTCAGGAGAACAGACTTTGTCTTCTAGAAGTTGGTATCTGGGGTTCCACAAGTGGCAGCTTGGAAGGACAGAGATGCTTAGGAAGGTTAACAGCATTCCCTGATTGCCAGAAGGCTCTGTTCTGCTCTCAGGGAGCTCATAGCTAAGTTTCAAGCAGGCAGTGTACAGGATCTGGAAGCAGAGATGGGCTGCTGAGGAGACTGGAAATGAAGGAATGGTATTAGTAAAGTGAAAGCTGACCTGATGTCTCAAAGGTTGTCTAGGCTAAGAAGCAAAGGTTTTGATGTAATACTGATTGTAAAGAGCTAAGCAAGGAGAACGTTGCTGAATAGAGCAGATGAGGTACTCAGTGCCTTGCTTTGCCTCAGTCTTTACCAGTGAGATCTCCAAGATCACTGTGCATAGTTGAGGGAACTCTGAACAGGGGTTAAGGGTTTGAGTGAGAGATTACTTGGGGAAACTTGACCCATACAAGTACACAGGACCCACTGAAGTGGGTCCAGTGGTGATGAGAGACAGTGGGAAGAAGTCTTAGCAAGGCAACTCTCTCTCATTTTTGCAAAGTCATGGAGAATAAAAGAGGCTTCTGATGTACTTGAGCCAGGTTTTTTAGAGCAGTGCATATTGGGAGGATGAGAGGCAATAGGAGTCATTGAGATAAGGAAGATAAAGCCTGGTTATAAAGAAGCATTTTTTTTCCCATAAAGACATGCAGACTGTGGAGGTTGCCCAAAGAGGCTGTGCAGGGTTTGTCAAACCTTGGAAAGTTTTAAGATGCCTGAAAAAAAACCCCTGAGTAGCCTGGTCTGATCTCATAGGTCAATAATGTGAATAATGCTTGTTAGTTTGGTAGCCATCATCTTCTATAAATTCCAGTGTTGCTTTCCACTATGTACCTCACTGTACACATAGTTTTGAATTTAGCTTTCTCCTTACATAGATACTCAGTCTCATATGATGTTTCTGCCAGTTCATGTTTCCAACTCTTGTTTCGACTACACTGCAAATCTCTTTACTGAGCAAACATGGTCAAAACTTGCTGTCCTTTTCAGATCACTTCTGGATTTTACTTACCAGTGCAGAGTTGGTGAATTTGCAGTAACCTCCCTTCAGGCTGGAACAGATGGTTGTTCCTCTCTTAATTTTTGATTGCTTATTTGTTTGTACCTGGGCTTTCCATCTCACCTCATTGGTGCTTAGTTAAAAGCTTTTGTTAAATGAATTCTTCCAAATTTACCCTGAACTCCCAGTAGGCAGCATAAATTTGATTACTGTTATGTGTGTTCTGCTTGACTTGTAGTTTTTTGGGGTTTTTTTGAGGTGGATCATATTGTTTGTTGGTTTGGTTTTGTATTTTTAATGGGAAGGATTTACTTTCCTGCAGGTTGCCTGTAGGTATTGCCGTAGATAATGAAATTGAAAGATTTCTTTATTTGTTCTATGACCCCTCCCCCTTCCCATTGAAGTTTTTTTGTTCTTAGGCCTCTTTTCTTTCAACATTTAGTAATCTAACAGGTGTTTGAATCTTCTGTGTTCCTAGAGATCTTTTGATATTTCCCTTCTCTTTCACCTTTTTCCTTTCTCTTTCACCTCTCTTCTTTTCCTTATTCCATTAGCTCTTTTTGCAATAGCAGAAACATTGTTTTGTCCTAATCAAAGCAAAGATTTTATTTCCATTAAGATCTTTATGGAACTAATGTGACTTGGTGTTTTACCTTCTCTGTTGTGTAATCAGATTTTACATTTCTAGCAGTCCCAAATCTAAAGGCCTGATTTTAGGTGCATTTACATTTATGTTAAATACTTTTTTATATAGGAAACTGAAAATCTTTAAATATTTTAATGGAAACTTGAATTTCTAATTTGTTAATCACAGAGATAAGAGCTGAGGGCAGAGAATATAAAAACCTATGCTAGACCTATGATCTCATGTTATTTATACCCAGTGTGCAACTTTATACCTTGAAAACAGATTAGAAAGAGACCTAGCTGGTTCTTATGGTCACCAGCCATACCATGTGAAAGTCTGTGGTGTCTGGAATTATAATGGCTTGATCCTAAAAGATAGTGAAACTTCTGGAGTTAGGTCTATGGAATGTAATTCAAGCAAACCATTGACAGATTTATAACTTCACTTGGTTGAAAATTTAGGTTATTAATATTATCTGTCAGCCAGGAAGATTTATGTTTCAAGCAACCATCCCAGGAAATTTAATGCATGTTAATTTAGAACATTAGCTAATACCATATTTATTTATCCAGAGGGCAGATTGACTACTTGGGTTGCATTGACTATGTAGAAGTATTTTCTTGCTTTCTTTGGGAGCCTTTTGTAACCTGACACATCACATAGGTCAACAATATCTAAATGTTAACTACTGTCAGTCACAATGATATATTGTGTAATATAATCTAAAACTAAATTGCAAAGAAAGAAGAGCCTTCTATTTAAGGGGTACTTGTTAAGGAAAAAGAAGATTTTGACATTTTGATGCTTTCGTTTTACAATGTATGCTTTTTATAGGCACCAATTAACTGACTTAGTGAAATGCAGTCATAAATGGTTTGTGCATTTGCATTAAGAGTATGCAATTTCTGAAGAGACGTTTGTAGTGAGTGACAGCAAACTCTAACAAGATTCAAACATCGCTGGAAATGTTGTCTTTACTCTGTATTTATTTGTGCCTTAGAGAAAAAGGCACATGTGGAAGTCATCCTCCTCTGCAGGGGAAGAGGGGAGTCTCTCTCCAGAGAGCTCTGAAACAAAGTTTTGCTTTCAACAGTTACATTCAGCAGGGTTAGAATGAACAGTAGTATTTTTCCCATAGTGTGACTTCTCAAAATCTTGCTCTTGAGGACTT